CCCTCTTCCCCTTTCTTAAGGGACATAAAGGCAAAAAGTTTCAAAAGACTGGTGACCCTCCACATTCAAGCTCCAAGCAGCCATCAATGAGCGGTCAAATTATTGGAGGTTAGGCAGCAAGTCCTGGTTCCCGCTGCTGCCAGAAGCCTGAACCTCCCACCTTCCTCCTGGTCCACACAGAGCATTTCAACCCCGAAAGCAGCACACACTTACCCAGATCTTACAATCGCACCGCCACACACCAGAGGAGACACCTGCGAGATGGTCGCATCAGCCGACCATTTCTCCAAAGCTGGCCGCGTGAACGTGGCCACCAAGGAGGACATCAGGTCTTATAGGTGAAGGGAACTGCAGATGCTTAAGCCCCAAGCTCTGTGCCTCTGCCCCTTGGAGACCTGACATGGATTTCCAACACGCTGCAGTGTGAAATGCAGACAGCACCATCCCTCCCGTCATCCCCGGGTCCTCCCCCTGCTTCAGCAGTCCTCATGCATTCTGCAAGACAGACTGACACTTGTCGTTCATCTGGATGAAGGGAGGGTGTGGGGGGGGGCGGGGGGGGATGCTGATGATGTGAATCAAGGAGACAGCAAACACATGCAAAGCAGTCAATTCTCCATGAGCCCAGAGAAGAGACCAGGGAGGGGTGAGTCACTGTTTACTTTCTACACACTAAACTCGCCCAGCTGGCCAGCTTTCCATTTCCCTTATGGATCAGAACCAGCATCCACCAGCAAAGAACAGATTCAGGAACCTTCAGACAGAATTTGAGAGCTGCCGGGGCACGACTCGGAGGCTCTCTCAGGGGAAGCCTGGACAGGGATCAGACGGTCTTCAATGCTTTGGTAAACAACCTAGTCAGATGCTGCAGAGAGCCTATGGTTACAGAGCGGCCGATTCAGGCTATCATGAGAGTGTGCCTGTGTGTCACGTTACAGAGACCTTGGACTTACAGGGGGGGAAGAGGGAGGGGGAACGGCAGCTACTGAAGAGGTCGGATACACTGCTGACTGCTTCAGACACAGGGTAGCGCTCCTCCCCGCAGTGTGTTTTATGGAAATGATCAAACGAAAATGCACTGCAAAAATGAGTTAAGTCCCACATCACCGTAGCACAGAAAAAGTACTTTGTCACCTGGGGAAATCAAGGTAGTATGTGGTCAGCGATTTCTATGGGGCCAAGAGGCAGAACTGAGATGAGGGCTTGTGAATTCTCCTGAGCCCTGTGGACTAAGTCCAACCTCCACCTCCATGTGAATGTGAATGATGACAGACATGAGGATGGTTATTCAGGCACCCACAGTCTGCGAGACAGCGAAGCGTGCTGCAGGATGCGCCCAGTTTTAGAGCCGAGCAGCAGGATAATTGCTTTCATTTACTTAAAAAAAAAAGTTTTTTTGGCATCCCAGGCCCACAGTGAGACAGCCTTCCAAACAACAGAGAAGCAGCAAAAAGCGATACAGCAATATCTGCCCGAGTTTGCAGATAGCCTGAAACAACAGCCCAGAAAGCAACATAAACTGCCTGCGCCTCTTGATGGGGGGCTGAGCCTGAAATTCCCAGATAACTGCAAGCGTCAGCACTGCTGGAGAGTTTCGCAGCTGGATATTTACTCAAACGAGCTGCAAGCGCACTTATCCCACCAGCCCCGACTGCCTGCCATACCGCCTGGGGGGCCAAGAGCTCCAGCTGTCCCTGCTTCCCCTCCCAAACATCCGATTGTTACAAAGTTTCAGCACAAAACCACGGGGGCTTCAGAAAGCCATTATAAACACTCGGCTGCGTAGGCTTTATTTCATTCACCATTAAACTCTGTTAGTTATTTCAAGCCAGACACAGGTTTAAACCACTACTGCAGCAACAGGTTGGGGAAAGAACGTAGGTGAAACTTCCTTAATATGAAGGACCTCTTGTAGCCTTACTTAAAAATACTTCTTGAGGTTGCATATGAATTACCCCAAAATCATTTAACACAGCTAGCCCAAAGTGCAGGAATAAAGCCCCAGCAAGGTCTAAAATATGTGGAGCATCTTGCTAACCAAAACCCACAAGCCCTCTCCCTGCTGTAACCATCTCCTCCCTGAAAAAAACATCCTCCATATTGTCACCAGGATAGGTACAAACAGGGTTAATCCTCCCTCCCCTCCGTGCTGCCAATGCTAGGCACGGCCATTGGATAACCGGAGCGTCCATCATGTTTAGGAAGTGACTGCGGGAGGAAGGTTACTCTGCATTACAGTGTATACACGGAAGAGACAGAGCAGGGAGCAAGCACCGGCTCCATCAGTGAGCAAGCAGCAAGGTAAATTCCCTCCATACTAAGCCACCGCAGGACCGCAGCACAGCATGTTGGCTGGGCTGGCGTGGGAGCAGGGGTGCCCCTGCCTGCACATGCCAAGCGCCCAGGGACTGAACCTCCAATAATAAGACGTGCAGCTTTGGATCTGGTGGGACAGGGGCATTTTGGCTTCTCCCCTCTTTGCCTTCTCCCCAGCCCCCAGAGCTGAGCTAGGAAGGGGGCGGGAGGGCAGAGAAGGAATGGCAGCTTTTCCATTTCCTGCACTGCCACTTTCCCCAAAGGGGGCTTGCTCCTAATTGGAGCTGTCCCGGCCTGCTTTCTTCCAGGAGCTGGAGAACGAGTCCCCTCTCCTCCACCCCGCACAGCCCAGGGAAGCAGAGTCCCAGCACCCCTTGGCCACAGGAGGAGGAGGAGGAGGAGGAGGGAGCTCTCTCTCCAACTGACCATGGCGTGTTTCTAGAGTTCAGACATGTCTCACTTCCCCTCCCTTGCGGCCTGGACATTTCTCTCACTAGTGCCACTCCTTTGTCTGGGGGGGAAGGGAGCAGAAGCCAGGCTTCTCCACCCCCACGGGGCTAACATCCCACCCCACCACCCGTTCAGGGGGAGAAAAGCGGTTCTCAGGAAGCCCCACCCGCCCTCCACGGAGGGCGCGGTCTCAAAACCCCACCGGTCTACTTGGCAGGTGTCCCCTCCAGCAAACCACCTCGTCCCCGGCTGGCCTGCATCCCCACCGGCCAGCCAGGGACCCCTCCAGCGGCCCCTCCTCGGCCTGCCGGGCCGTCGCTCCCGTCCCCGCCACCAATAAGTCACTTGCTCCATCGCGCTCTCGCAGCAACGCGCCCTCTGCTACTATCCGCCCGACGCAGGGCGACCCGGGCGCATCTCCGACCAAGGCGGCACAAGCACGGCGCGCAGGGCACAACCGGGGACCCGCTGGCTCGTTTCCAGCGCCCCCAAGGTCCACCCAAGCACAGCCGGGGTCGCGCCGGCCTCTCGAGACCCAGGCAGACCCCGGCCAGGCAGCATCCCGCCCCTTCCCAAACCGCCCAACTTTTGTGCAACAGGCGAGGGCTTCTTCAGGCCACGGGGGCCAAGCCCCGGGGACCCTCCTCGGGCGGGGGCTTCTCCCTGGTACTGAGCCCCCAGCCCGGCTCCGTGCTCCCCCTCCAGCCCGGGCCCCGCGGCCACGTGGGAGCAGAGCCCCGGGTGGGGCCGGGCGCCCCGTGCTGAGTCACGCGGCGGGGCCAACCCCGCATCCAGCGGGCCCCGGCCACGTGCG